CGAAAGCAAGCGACGCCGATTTTTCAACATCCTAACATTGGCTAAAAACAAAATTCAGTTCTTTCGGCGCGCAGCGTCGCGGCAATCGCCGAATGCTTTTTTTTGCAAACTTTCTCCTTCTCCGTTTCAACTTTTTGACACTACCGTGATCCTCTGACAGTATCCACCACACAACTCGCCGCAACTTAAGGTCTCGCCGTTCGACAACACTCTATCGACGGGAAGAAGGGAAGGCCAAGGTCGCAATCTCTCACCTAACAATAAGCAATGCASATCGATACAGTGGGAAGAAGGGAAGACCAAGGTCAGACTCTCATTCGCAAAAAGAAAGCTCTGTGATGACACTGGGTTTAGGAAACTTCTACAGGGGACTGGGGTGGGAGGAGGACAAGCCTCAGCAGTGGTCCAACTATTTCAGTCTCCGTCTTTCTCGCCACCTGGGCTTAGCCACGAAAGCAGGTTCATCGACTAGCTAGCGGACCGGGGCAGCGAGGGCAGGCAGTCAAGGACTCCTCCACACAACATTAGGGGTACAAGAGGCACTGCGGCGTATGCACATGAGAGAGAGAAAGGGAGAGAGATACGCCGGTGTGATCCCGATGATGATGAAATGCTACTTCCAGGCTAATTCATTGAGAAAGGGAGAGAGATACGCCGGTGTGATCCCGATGATGATGAAATGCTACTTCCTGGCTAATTCATGCTGTTGATAATGCGCTTGCTCTTGATCACGATGATACAACGCATGCGAAGATGCCGCTGCGTATGTAATTTCCACTGTTTCCTCTGCACCCCTTCCCTCTGAGCCCGGTAAACCTAACTCATCAATTGACCTCAATGTGAAGGAAGAGAGCTATCAGGACCCCACAAAGTTACTGACAAGGTCCTCAACTGTCGGTCAAACCATATTTGCTCCGAAAAATTTGAGTCTTAGAAAACGATGGGTATACAGTTTTCGCCCGGTAGAGCGGGCTTGCAAGATGAAGTCAGGGACTCGAAGGGAGGAACACAACTGGAATGTCACACAATGTACAACTACCGTAGGCTGGGTAATAGACTCCTAAGGAGATCACAGGATCTACGTTTGGGGCAAAGATGGCACAACAGCATGCAAATATGACCTACCATTCATTTCCCGACTCCCATGGCATGTTGTACGGTCTATATTCGAAATGCCCGGATTAGGTCTCTTCAATGGCTAATTACTTACTTGGCTTCCCCGGTCAATCAATGGCTCGACCAGAGGCGAACCGCCCAAAACATAAGTGGTC